CTTCCTCCTGTACCAGAATAGTAGATCGTGCTTGTGCGAAACCCAGCATCGAACAACGCCGGCACAAACACATCCAAAAGAGATCTTGTTCTTGACCCAGCTGTAGGTGAATCAAACCTATTCACCAAGGTGTCCTGCACCACCTGGCATTCGTCGAGTATAATCGGCCCACTCCAGTCCCTCTTGTGTGTCTCGATCAAACGATCAAATACCCCTTCGATCCCACAGTCACTGGATACTAACTCGAGTAGTCTATCACTTAGAACGTAGAAAGGGTCATTATGGAAGGGTAGTAACGCAAATCCAACCTGCTTAAACAACCAGTACTTGGCCCAAACCTGAGGTGGCATGCTTCCTGCTACCTCCTTCAACTTGTCTAGGATGAAGAATCTGCTGAGAAGAACAGCTTTGAAGCAGCACCGCGTCACGCGCATCGGAATTGACTGGTCTCCTGGATACAGAACCATTAGCCGACTAACCAGCGCATCCAAGTCTGCAGACCCCTCCGATCCAATCCGTCCCATAGGAACACCAACAAAATACAGAGCCAAACGGTCCACTGCAATCTCATACAGTGTTCGAGTTTTTCCAGAGCCGGAAACATCGAAAAGGACCACCAGGCCAGGGCGTGCTATATCCACTTGATCCAGAATGTATTTGGAGGCCCGAAAAGGCTCCTCGAGGCAATGCCAGAGAAGGCAAGGTTTACGACTGTCAGGAGCTTGGGGAACCGTCCCTTTGCAAACGTCTGGATAGCTGGCCTTCAAATCGCTTGGCTCAAGAAGTTCTCCATGTATCTCGTTCCATACATGGTCCAAGATACCTTGCACATCTGCTTGATCAAGATCAAACACAATGAACACACAAGTAACGCTTCGTCAGTTCACCAGAGAACATCGTAAATCTTACCACAATCAGTGGTAGGAGCTGAAGGCGCTGCAAAAAAAAATATTTGTCAGCGATGGAAGAACAAGTCAAGACCAAAATCCAATGCCTACCCTTGAGTAAGATAAGCTTTTCTTCCCTCAGGTGGATCTCCTTTTGTCTCAGCTGCCCCACCATTTTCCGCCAGTACCGCTCCTCCTCTGCATCATTTGTTGCCTTGAGCTGCTCCTCAGCCTCACATATTTGCTTCTCGACTCCCTCTATTTGCCTTTCAAGGCTGAAAATCGGCCCATCCACCGGCATGGGCTCAGTTCCAGACGCCATCCCCACTGCTAACCCTAGCTGTGATGCAAATCAACGGTTCAGATCTCATGTAAATATTCCAGAATCAGACTTCTTAAGTATAAATTTAAAACTCTTTCTATTCTGGGAAAGCTGAAATTTTAGCATTAAAATAATCTATCACACCAAAAATTTAAATCGCTGTCAAATCACAAATTTATATTTGTTATTTTATTGTTTTATTAGCTCAACTAGTCATTGCCTAGCATATGCTGCCCAGTTAGCAAATATTGTTTTAATTATCATTATTACATTGAAAATTAAATTGAAATAATATCAAACAACATATATTATATTCCACTTTGAAAAAAGAATTGAAAAGGTAACTATAAGCATATGTTTTCTTATAAGATGATGTTTTTCATAGAAAATTATCAAAATCTTTAAAAAGAATTATAAAATCTAAGTAAATCTCCATTGCAAAAGATTAAATGTCAATGCCGATCAACACTTTTCATATTACATGTGTCATAATGCTTTCTTTTCTTGCCCCAAGCAATTGGCCACCTCCCATTGGCTAAAAGCAAACATTAGCATCATTAATTGCAGTTATTTGAGGCTAGGTAGGTGTTTGAGAAAAACCTAGTGAAAAATCTTGTCATCTGGAATGCTGCTATTGCAGCAATTGCCGCCACTGGGGATCTGGAGGAGGCACAGCGATTGTTTGATGGGATGCCTTTCTACAATTTCATGCCATGGATGATGATGATCACTATGCATGTGGATCATGGAATGTGATGAAATGAAAAATTACAGAGATGTCATGTAATGCTTTTGTGCTATGCCCAAAACTGGCATCTGGAGGAAGCCATTGCCCTATTCAATGAGATGCCAGAGTGAATACAACGATGATATCAGTTTTGGCATCAAGAAATTATTTAGAAAATGTGAAGGATCTGTTTGATTCTATGCCATTACAAATTGTAACTGCTTAGAACTCTATGAATATGGCAAATGCCAAGAATGGGCAAATTGAAAAGGTGGCCATTGTTTTCTTTGAGATACCCAAGTGGGACTGCTGCTTGTGGAACAGCCTCCTGGGCACGATTGTGGAGTCTGGGAGGATCGATGATGCAATCATGATGTTTAAGAGAATCCCTTTTAGAGACATAGTTTCATGGAACCTGATGATCACAACAATGGGTTCTTGCGGCCATATCCGCAAGGCACAAGCTCTCTTCACTGTGATGCCACAGAGAAATGCTGTCTCCTGGAGCACAATGATCAGAGCTTATGTGCAGCAGGGACTGGCTGTGGATGCAAAGATCATGTTTGATTCCATGGAGCCTCATGATATGGTTGTGTGGAACTCACTCCTGGCGGCCTACCTTGTGAACGATTGAGTGCACAATGATAGAAAAGTATTTGATTCCATGCCTGATCGAAACGCAGTGTCGTGGATGTCAATGATTTCAGCCCATGCCATGTGAGGCCAGATGCACGCTCTTCGATTCCATGCCACGGTGCGTCATGGTGGCGTGGAATGCGCGAGGAGCAGCAATCTTGATGAGGCACAGCTCCTCTTTGGTCAGATCCCCCATCACAACCCTATGACAATCAATGACATGGTTGCAGTGCTTGCGTTTGGTGGCAGGATTGAGCAGGCCAAGCTCCTTTTTGATCGATTCACATTGCCCAACTCCATGATCTCCATGCTCGAGGACTGGGCAAGGCCTACGCCCAGTCTGGGAGGATCGAGGAAGCCAGGGTGCTGTTTGAGCCCGAAGAATCGGCATTCTAGCGTGATCAGAGCAATCATCAATGTGTATGTCTAGATTGTGGATGTTCCAAAGGTGTGGCGGATCTTCTCCCAAATCGCCCATCCCGATGCTGCGAGCTACAATGCCATGATCGCAGCATTGGCCTCAAATGGGCATTTGTGCAAGGCAAAGATCCTCCTCTCCAAGGTGAGTGAGAGCAATGCAGTATCCTGGAACACCATCCTCACGAGCTACATTCACTTCGGCCATCTTGGCCCCACAATTGCAATCTTCCGCACCATGCCAGATCCAAATCTAGTCTCTTGGACAGCAGTGATCACTGGCATCACCCACAATCCCGGGTTGCATTGATCGGCACTGGATTTTCTCCGCAAGCTCTAGCAGGAGGGCTGGAACTCTAGCAAGATCTGCTACAGAACACATGCATGTAAATATAAAGCAAATGTAACAAGTGATAGACAAAGATGTAGCAAATTCAAGAATGATTAAATGGTGATTGTGAGTGACTCAAAATGATGGTAATGAGGTGTGGATAAATCTAATATAGAGAAGAACCTAGAAACTATGGGAGAAAAGCTAGGAAATGAATAAACTCCCAAAAGGCAGTAGAAAAGAGTGAAAGAAAAAAAATGAAAGAAAAATAAAGAAAACAAAGAAGAGAAAAAAGAAGTCACTGCAATAGGAGTTAGCAGTGATGATGCCCAGAGCTATTGAATGTCACTATGCTGTGACATGGTCCAGGTGGACTAAGAGCATTTTGAAGGAGGTTGCAGATGCTAGTGAAGCTAGCTGTGTCACCCTCCAACACCGGATGTCATGCCGAATACATTTTTCAAAGAACTTCTAGAGCAATGTAGTATGGGCTTCCAACAATGTCTATGAAGACTTCTCCTTTTAGAAAGAACAGAAAAATTATATAAGGAAAGCAACAATCAAGTCTAGAAAGATTTTCAGCTAGAAAGATTCTTCCTAGACTCTAGATGGACTGGAAAGAGATGATTGAAGATGTTGCAAAAGTCAATAGCTTCATTGTTTAGACCAGAGTGACATTGCTAATGATGGAGCAAGTTTGTGGACAGGGTCTTGCTGCCATTGGCACTATATGGCACTCAGATCACCAAGACTAGACCAAGGTAAGTTCTAAGAAACTAAATTTAAACCCATATCAAATTATAAGTTTACCTGAATGAAAAGGTTTGTGTGAATAAAATTATACTTAACTTGATTATTTAAGTATTTTCTTAATGTGTGTGTGCAAATGTAAACTCACTAAGACACTTAAGGTTTAATACCTAGTAAATTTAAGGGTAAAGGTCGGTGCAAAAAGAGGCAAAGCTAAACCTCTTTTATCTTTGTTATTTAGCTCTAGGTCATGCCTCCTCAGAAAAGGCTTGGTTGATGAAACTTTTGGGTTTGTTAGTGATTATTGACAAAGCTTGATGTAACACTTGTCTATGTGCTAAATTGTCTCTGCAAGGAACACAAACATGCATTTTTTCAGAGTTTAACAACGATTAGATCAAAAGATTCCTAAAAATAACAAGTTTTATTAAGCATAGTTCTGATTGATGGTGGTCAGAACAATCTCAATAGAATATAGCTCAAACAATGAACTACATCACTAGGATGCACTTTCATGTAGCTCTTTTCCTTAAAGAGTAATAAAATAAAATATCCTTTCAAAATATGCTTATTCTTTCTTTAAGGGATGAATATTTTTAATTAATAAGCAGGCGATGACATCTGTTTTAAGGTACGTTTTACAGATAACAAAATAAAACCTTTAGTTTGCTCTTAACACCTCCAAGGTCTTATACTAGCATCCTGTAGGGGAAAAATCAATAACAATTGAGAAATCTTAGAACCACTGCAGTAAGAACTATCCCTATTAGCCAACAAAAGCCACAAATTGTTGATGATCAAGGAGAAGAGAAGAATTGTTAAAAGTTTTTGCATTTCAAAATCTTCCGTTAGGTTAGCCTTTTTAAAAAAATATTTACTCTTTTTAAAAAGAGTTAAAAATAATTTTTCATTTGAAAGTTAAACCCCACCTTTCAAATTTATGCCCTTGGCAATATTGGTAATGTGAGAAACTACATTTTAGTAATAATACGTGTTCTCCAGAGACCCATGAGACCACAATGCAACGAATGCATTATGATCTACTCATGTATTTCACCACCTACCTTCCTCAATTGCTATAGGAGGCTGCAAATACCCTTGTTTGGCATTTATGACGCATGCAGTCTCGTCAAAAAACTCTCCAAGCATCTCATGACAATAAACATTTCTCTTTCTTTCTGTGTCCACCTTTGAAACATTTGTCTTCACTGCAACTGCCATGAGATGCCAAATCCCACCACCACCACCACCACCACCACCACCCTGCTGCCAGGCGCAGATTAAATGCTGTTCGTCCATCAATCCATCCATCCATCCATTCCACCGCCAGGCCTGAGAGGCCTGAGAGACCTGAGAGACCTGCTGAGCGACCAGAGAGAGGACGAGCTCGTCCCTCTTGCCTCTTTATACTTTCATCCCTCGCTTCTTTCTCTTCCAGCCTTTTCGCACTCTTAGAGAACTGCCACTGCTGGCTGCTTCCTTTGCTCCAAATCCTCTCTGCCTACAAGGACCCCCGCGCTGAGCTTTCGACCAGATCTCTTCTCTTTCGACCAGACCTCCCTCGCTCTCGCATCGCTCTCTGTGGCCCGAGAAGAAAAAGACGAGCGAGCAAAGCACTTGTCGCGCGTCGCCTGCTTGCTGCTACTGCCTGAGTCAAAGGAACGAAGAAACTTTAAAAGGCTGACTGGAGAAGTTAATACCTGTTGTTCTGTTGTTTTGAAGCGCTGCTGGCGGTGGTGGTGGTGGTGGTGGTGGCGATGCCGGCGGCCTTCGCTTTGGCAGGCCGTAGCGGCGTCAAGTAAAAGTTCCAAGTGCTGCTGCCCAGTCGGTGGTACGGTGACGACGCAGAGTGGGCGACAACGTCTCGATTCTCCCACGGCTGCTTTCCCCTCGTAGCGCAGTTATTAGCGTTGCCCCACCTGTTGTGCGGTACCGGGCTCGACGACAAGCTCCACGCGCCGTAGTCCCTGTAGTAGGCCGTGTAGGCCGGCGTCGCCGCCTGGAGCTTCTTCAGCTCCACCGACGATGGAATGCTCCAGGAGCTCGGCTTTTCGGAGCTCGAGTGCCTGTCGACGGTGTTTTCCTGCTGGTGTTGTTGGTTTTGTTGGTGGAGGTGAGCGTCGCAAGCTTGCTGCGAGGAAGACGAGCTGATCGGGTTGGCCGCGTCCTTCTTGGCCTTGCCGTGGTTAGAGCTCGCACCGTGCTTGAAAATTCGCAGTGGCGATGAGATCCACGATGGATTGCTGTGCTGCTGCTGCTGCTGTTGTTGTTGTGGGTGCTGCTGCTTCCAGTTTGGGCTATGCTGGGAAGCTCGACCCTTTGCCAAGTTCACATACTTGGCTTCTTCTTTCCTCGCCCGGTTGAAATAGCCGGCCAGGCTGCTGCTGCCGGTGCTCGTGGATTTCTTCTTGCTTACTGCTGGCTCGGTCTCGGGAGAAGGCCTTGGCTTGGATTTCCTGAAAGTTGTCACCAGCGAAGACCACCATGCGGATGACTTACGTGACGAAGTCTTCTTGGCGGACGAGGAGTTCCCATTCTCTAACCCAGCTGCTGCGCTAGAACTAAGACCCTCACCTTGATAGTCTACCTTGGAAGAAGCGAGGCAGCGATGGCCGCCGCCGCCGCCGCTCCTCATCCCAGACGCGAGCGGTGGAGCGCCGCCATAGAAGCGCTGCGGCGTGCTCCTGTTGTTGCTGGCGCAAGCCGACGACGATTTCTTCTGCTGGCTCTGGTCCTTGGCGAAGATCGAGAAGAACCTCTGCCGGGTCCAGTCGTCAAGAACGGCATCGGACTTCCTCCCGGCGAATCCATTCCCGTTGCCGAAGGGAAGGTTGTTCCCCCGGGCGGCGTTGGAGGCGCCGCCCATGACGACGCCGCCGCCGCCGCCGCCACTTCCCTCCCAATGCGACCAAGATTTGGACCTCCGCAAGTAGGCATCCGAGAGTAGCGGTGAGACGAGCTGCTGCTGGCGCTGGCCTCCATAATCCGCGATCCCTGGCCGGCTAGCCGCGGCATTCCTCCTATCTAGCGCTACAAACCCGAATGCCGAGCTCCTGTCGCTGTAGGACGCCCTGTGTGGAACCAGCGCCTCCGCCGAGGGGCTCAGCGCCGAGAGCCGCTCCTTGAGGCAGTCGGCGCACACTCCAGCCGCGCGTTGAGAAGGGTGCCTCCAGCAGGAGCCATCTCTCCTGCTCATGATCCCATGGCAGCTCCTCGAAATCCTAGATCCCAGACGGCGCGCGATCCAAAATGCCGCGCTCTAGCTCGCAGATCGATCGATCGATCGCTCCCAGGCGTTAAGAGCCCTAAATCTCTAATCCCCACCAGGATTTGACCGTGAGGAGCGCCGACGTGGACGACTCCGTACGCAAGTACGAACGGCAGGGTGGGAATATTCAGATACCTAGGAAAGCGCAGGATATACCATTTCTTGCCACGCTGCCCATCCAGTTGTCGACGACCACGTGTAGACCAGTCCTCGCGTTTTCCTCCACCGCATGGAGGGTTAGGGTTCTTTACGTGTAGCTATGAGCTTGGAGAAGCAATGGCGCCCGCTGCTTTGGTGAAGCGGAGTGTCTCGTTCGATCTCCTCAGCCGCGATGTTGCCGGCGACGAGGATGATCGAGTGGCGCCGCCCAGGAACGAGCTCGTGGCGGAGAAGAATTCCCGGAGGCGGCGGCGCCGGAGCAAAAAGGGAACGCTCAAGCAGAGTTTCAGCCTCAGCCCTGGATCCAGCGCCGATCTCGCGGGATTTGCCGATCTGGTAGCGCAGGTCCGCAAAGAGGTACCAAAATTTCCCACAGCGGTGAATGGGATAATCCAGCAGAATGGAGCGGAGGAAAAACGTGCTGTTCATGCGGTACAGGAAAATGGAGATGGTCCTGTTCTTCAAGAGAATGGAACCTCCTCTTTGGTGGCGCATCCCTCTCCTCAAGCTGTCAGTAACGCAGACACCAAAGTTTTCGATCGCTTCGAGGCCGAGAAGCCTGCGAAGCAAGTCGACATTGGCGAATCCTGGCAAGCTCGCGGCTTTTTTCACGGGTTGCTTGAAGGAAGCTCTTTGGAGGCAACGGTACGAGCTGGAAATCAGAAAAGTCAGGATTGCGTCTACAATACTCTGGTGCACGTCCCCTGGCGATGCGAACTGGTTAGTTGTTTGTTATTCTACTTCGCAAGAGTTTCATGCTTAACATTTTATCTTTGCTTTTGGAACTCGTGTTTCAGCTCATCCTCGTTGGTTTTTTCGCCTGCCTAGACTCCTTTCTTTCGCTTCTGGTTGCGACACCGGTCCGCGTTGTAATAGCTCTTTGGAGGCGTCTGAGGTGAATTTTCTAGGTGTGAAATGATTTTCTTTTACATTGTTTTCTCACTCTCTTCTATCTGACTGGCAGAGAGCGACGAGCATTGCAAGCCCGTGACTTGTCCGATTTCGGTTGCTTACTTGTCTTGGTTCTCGGGGTTCTTTTTCTTCAGCAAGCAGGTATTTTGATCTATATGGCAGTTGATTCTGGCTTCTTACGTTCTGCACTGTCACCGTTTAGATATCAGCTATATCTATCACTCGATTCGATTTGAGCCGAATATAAAACTCTATGTCATTTACAACATGCTGGAGGTAAAATTCAAAATTTCCTTGCAGGGCGTGAAGTTTATTGTCTTGATTCAGGTCTTCGACAAACTCTTCCAGTCATTTGGCGTGGATGTGCTACAGGTTCTGTATTTCTCAGCGATGAATTACGTTTCAAATGCTGCAGGTTTACAAACTTTTGCTCTCAACTGGCTCATAGCAGTGGGCTGCTTCAATATCCTTCGAAAATTTCTCTTTTCATCTCGTTCTTTTGTTCCATCTTAACTGTGCACACCAGTCCACTCGTTTATAATTTTGTTCGAAGCGATCAGTCTCTCCGCGGCGCTCCATTACGCCGCAACAAACAGGTCGCTGCTTGTGCTGCTAATGTCCAACAATTTCGCAGAGATCAAGAGTACCGTTTTCAAGCGGTTTAACAAGCAGAATATGCATGATCTGGCTCACACTGGTGCGAAGCTTGTGTCGCTCGTATTTTTCGCCATAATGTGTTGTGTCACTTCCGCAGACACAGTGGAGCGCTTTCATCTTCTGACTTGCCTCTTTTTCGCGTTTGCGCAAAACATCATTCTTGTGGAAGGGCCATGGATGCAATTATTTTTCTACGTACGTTTCGTTATCTAGTTCCCGTATTGCACTGACTTATTGATCCCATATTGTGTTGTGCAGCACGCGGCGATGGTAATGTTTTGCGAATCCTTTGTGGACCTTATCAAGCATTCCTTTCTAGCGAAGGTGAACCAAGTCATGCCCGCAGCCTACACGGAGTTCCTGGAGATGCTGTGCGAACAGGTTTATAGAGAAATCTTTCAAATTCCTTCTCTGAAGTTTTCATGTTTCAGATTGCAAGCAGCCGCAAGGACTCCTCCAGGAGCAAAGCTCTCAGATTCATACCTCTCGGCCCCGCCTGTGTGGTAAGGCTAGAACTTTCTCTCAAATGTTTCCATAACCCTGGATCACAGGTTATCAAAGTCATACTTCCTCTGTATGCTTCGTACATCTCGACAAAGTCCGCTTGGAGTTCCCTGCTAAGATTTGGACTCGTTGCCGGTGGAACTTTCGCAATTTTGGTAGCGTTAAAGATCGTCGTGCGTTGGTCACTCAACAAGTATGCTGCGTGGTATCTCAAGCGTTGCCACATGGAGTAAAGCGTATGTACCATTTCAAACGGAGTTAGTTAGCTATAGCGAATATAGTAACTGCGGGCGCGAATATCTGACGGCTACAGTGCCAGATATAGAATGGAATCCCTGACCGTCGATTGCTGGGCTATGGTTGAACGTTATAATCGTACGAAAATGTGGTGGACCTTTCGGCCGAATGAAAAAGAATAATTTCTTTGTTCTCCCTCCCTCACTGTTCTAGGGCTTTTGTTCTAGGGTTTGGCGAGCTCCACGAAGTGGGCGGGGGGAATCCAAGGCGCGCCGACCGATAGCGATGAGCTGGGGCTGGAAATTTGAGGTCGGAGACATCGCCAGCTCGCATTTCAGCTCCAGTAGATTTTGATATCCGGATTGTACCTTGGGGGCATGGGCAGCGTCTGCGATTGCTGCGTCGCGGCGTATTGCTCGTGTCTGGCGCCCTCTCCCGCGGCCGCGCAGCTCCGCAAGCTCGAGCTTCTTCTCGCGCAGCAGCAAGGGGGCCTGTTGGAGGTGGATTTCCAAAAGAGCTGGGAGGTCTGGAATGGCGGCGATTGCGAAGTACATGGGCGCTGCTCGTTTTGTAACCGGCTTCTCTCCCAGTCCGGCAAGAACGAGCGCTCCGTGAAGAGGAAGTTTGCCAAAATCTATCCCGAGGAGGTGTTCTCTTCCGTCGCTTGGGAGGAGGATGCTGTGATTTCCAACGAGCAATTCAGGCGCTTGATGGGGGCCTTGGAGGCCGAGAGGGAGATTGTGAGCGCGCTGAGCGTGGAGCTCGAGGAAGAAAGGAATGCCGCCGCGGTGGCTGCTACCGAGACCTTGGCTATGATCACCAGGTTGCAAGAGGAGAAGGCTGCGGTGCAAATGGAAGCTAGCCAGTACAAAAGGATGGTGGAGGAGCGCACCCAGTATGATCAAGGTGCCATTGGAATGCTCAACGAGATCCTGGCCAAGCAGGAGGAGGAGAGGATGGCGCTGTCCAAAGAGGTGGAGATGTACCGGAGCTCTCTCGCTGGTGGGAAGAAGAGGCCTTGCTTTTCCAGTGTGGAGAGTGGGGATGGTGCTTCCATGGCTGCGACTCCACAGGCGGGTGGCCAGCAGCGAGGGAAGAACTTGATAGAATCGTTCGAGAGGGTGGAATCTCCTCCGAGAGTTCACAGCCCTTCGCGAGGAGTGGGATCGTCTAGCATGGACGTCGACGAAGAGGGCAATGGCTCGTCCGGGATTCACGATCTACGTGAGGTTTCTAGCACAGGAACGACGTCGGGTGGCCGGTCCGAGCACGAGTTCATGGAGAAGTATGGTCCGAGATGGAAAAGCCATGATTCGCCTCTCAAGAACTCGAGAAGCTATGGCTCCGCGTCCAGCTCGTCCGGTTTGTATTCGAGTTCCGTGAGCCGGGATGACGAAGACAACGCCGTCGACCACATTGTTCGTGCCTTCGCCCGGCCGCATGGGAAGCTCAGCGAGGAGCTGAGAGAGCTGAGCGCGAGGCTTCGAGCGCTGGAAGCCGAGAGGGATTACCACGCGTTTGGAGGGCCGAGGAGGGGCGGTGGTGGCAACGGCGAGATGGAGATTCTAGAGGAGATATCACAGCAGCTGCGGCACATCCAAGCCTTGGACAGGAAGTCGGACGATATCAAGGAGTTATCAGAGGCATCCTTCGTTTTCTCCTTCAAGGTAAACAAGCTAGTTCGTAGCATTCCCCAGTTTCCAGTTTTGATTCTTTGTTGTTTCGCAGGGATTCTTCTCGTTCAATGGTTTGCGCCAGTCGCTCAACTCGAACATCAACAGGTAAAACGTTCGTCACGGTTGTTCTTTCGTCGATGATCGATCGATCTGTTCTTCTACCAGATTGGCGTGCATGTTTCTCAAGCCTGCCGAATTGAGCTACGGAGACCATCACGTCGGGCTGTCTCACTTGCTCGAGAGCTCGCCCCGCAAGACTCCTCGAGCGGTGCCTTGCCTGACTCGTGGGATCAAAGTGGAGACTCCGCCGCTCTTCTCAAACTCGTCCTACGCTGTGCTCCATCGCCAGAATCTGGAGTGGCCAATGGACGCGAGGGGGCGATCGGAGACAGCATTTAGCGGCTGGGACTACTGAGAGATCAACCAAAAAACTAGAACAAGAGAGAAGAGAGAGGTTGTTCTTCGTTTTTGCGTGTACATAATTTTTGCGTTTGTAAACGTTTGGGGGTTGGAATATGCTTCCGAGTTTAGGGTTTAGAGTGCTTTGGGAACTAGGGTATGAATGGCGGCCGTGGCTTGGCAGCTGAGAGCCCGTGTTCTTCGTAGGCATTTCCATCCGGCGCCATCGATCCGGCCGCCGTGCGCTCCTGCCGAGGCGCCAGTGATCGGGAGCGAGGTCGGGCATGGAGCACCTGCAGCAGAATCGATTTCTGGATCGATGGAGCTCATGGCAGTCCCCAAATCAAAGGTAAAAGTGCTGCATTCTTGGCGCTCTATCTCTCTTTTCTTTCCTAGATTTCCAAGTATAAGAAGAAGCTAAGGAACAATCCCAAGAACTTGAAGCCCATTCCAGTGATCGCCCAGTGCTCGTAAGTGCTAAGATTTTCCATTGAGGAGGGAGAGAGAGCGATTGGGTAGTAATTCAGGCAGCCTGCCGCAGCGATTAATCTGCGAGCACGGCGTTCATCTGCCCAGAGATGAAAATTTCTTGCTTTTCTGACTCGCGGAGAGCTTTTGGCTCGATGAGGCAAGTCAAGTAACACTCGAAAACATTGATTCTAACGAGAGAAAAAATCTATCCATGGTTTCTTACAATTGCTGTGGTGTGTTGATCGTTTCTTGTGCCAGGATTTGTGGAAGATACAGACTTCCAATGTACTTTTGCTGTAGTCCATGGTTTCGAGCAAAGAAGGATTTCAAAGTATAAATCAAAGCCACTTTTGTACAGAGCATTCTAGGGTTTTAGTGCCACGCCATTAGGGTTTTAGCGCAGAGCGAAAATGGGGCGCCGAGAGGTAGGCGATGAGAGAAATTGATCGTGGATGTGATTCTTCCTCTTCGATCGATGCAGGAGGCGGCGCATTCGATGGAGGCGATCGGATTCTCGTATTATCAGGCCGATGAGGTGCGAGCGATGAGTGTAAAGCGGATTACCAGCCCGCGGTTGCTGGATGGATTGGGGAAGCCGGTGCCGAATGGGCTGTATGATCCAGCTCTTGGTCCTACAGAACAATCGGATGTGTAAGGCTCAATCTTTCAGCATTTTCGTGCTTAAAAGACTTGTTTTTTTTTTTTTTTTTTGCTCAGGTGTCCGACTTGTGGAGATATGCAGCTGTTTTGTCCTGGACATTTCGGGCATATTGAGCTCGTGATGCCAGTTTTCAATCCTCTTCTCTACAGATCTCTCGTGAGAATTTTCAAGAGCGTTTGTGTTTTCTGCCACCACTTCAAGCACGAGCGCAAGAAAGTAAGTGGAGGAAAACCATTGAGTTTTCTGACTGACTTTTTCCAAAAAAAATTCCACAGGTTGAAGACGCTTGCATTGCTCTCACGCAAATCATGAAAGAGAGTGTTGTCGAGAATCCGTCAGGCGGGCGTAAAATGCTTATAACGTCGGGGCACTTTATCCAAGTGAAGAAGATCATCGAAGATTTCTTTAAACTTCCGCGGACCAAATGTAGTTCTTGTGGTGGGCAGGTTCCAGCGATCAGGAGCGAAGGTCACGGGAAGCTGTTCCAGGTAACCTTGGAGTGTTTCTAGTGGTTATTTACTCAATCATTTTCTAAAAAATTTTTTCTCCAGCAACCACTGAGTTCTAGGCATATGAGTGCGAACATGGTCAGCGGGCATATTTTTAGAGATCAAAATGCTGCAGCGGCGGCAATGGACGCCAGCGTTCCCGAGTCGAAGGGCAAAAAGCCCAAAGCGGATAAATTTGGCAAGAACTCGAGTATTCAAGCAGTCGGGTACTTCAGCGCGCCTAAAATTTTACTACCTTCAGAGGTGACGTTCCCATGTTCTTCCTTTTTAGAGACTGATACAAGTTTCAGGTAAGAAAACACTTGAGTGCGCTGTGGAGGAACGAGGAGAAGCTCTGCTCTTTGATTTGGGGTGGAGTTGGGACTGGAAAGTCACCTGCTCGGAAAGATGGTTTATCTCTGTTCTTCTTGGAAGCACTTGCAGTCACACCGAATCGATTTCGGCCTCCAAACTATGTCAATAATCAGGTAAAACTGCTTCTATACATGTTTTTCAATTGTTAATAAGTTCACTGGCAGCTTCTGGAGCATCCTCAAAACAAGCTTTATGAGGTTGTTGTCGAAAAAAATATTCAGCTGTCAGATCTTATTACAGAGAGCGGTGCAAAATCAGAGGATGGTCTGCGGTTATGGCTTGAGTTGCAAAATGCCGTGAACGAACTTATTGATAGCACTACTGGTATTTTCGTCAGCATGATGAGTTATTTGCAAAGTTTCAGATTCCTCTGTGTTGCAGTTGCTGGGAAAGATAGAAACGTTGGAATCAGACAACTATTGGAAAAGAAACAAGGTCTCTTTAGGTGGAACATGATGGGGAAGAGGGTAAACCATACCTGCCGTTCCGTTATTTCACCTGATCCTTTTATTGCGGTCAATGAAATTGGTATTCCACCAAATTTTGCTGTAAAACTGACATATCCAGAGGTATGAAGACGTATTGCTGACAGTACTTACGTGCTGGTTTTCTGCTTTCAGAAAGTAACAGCGTATAACTTCGAGCGGTTAAGGAGAAATGTTGAAAATGGTCCGAACGTACATCCTGGGGCTACTCATGTTGAAGACGAGCTGGGTGTTCGGGTGAGCCTTGAGTACCTTAAAGATTGGCAGCGGGTTGCTACGGCAAAGACACTGCTTTCCACGCCAGGCGCTACAGCGACTGACACTATAAAGAAAGAAAAGCTTATAGGAAAGACAGTTTACCGACACTTGCAAGACGGAGATATATTACTCGCGAATCGTCAGGTAAATTTCGGTTAATGTTTTTGCTTGCTCATTTGTTTTTGTAGCCAACTCTTCACAAACCTGGAGTGATGGGACACAAAGCTCGTGTGATTAAAGGGCAACGAGCTTTGCGTTTGCACTACGCAAATTGCAGGTTTAAATCCTAAACTGAGCTGCTAGTGCACTGAATGTTGTTTTTCTAGTACGTACAATGCAGACTTTGACGGAGATGAGATGAATGTTCATTTTCCACAAGATGAACTAGGACGAGCCGAGGCTTACCTGATTGTCAATGCCAACCAACAGTATGTCGTACCGACAAGCGGGGAACCCATACGAGGGCTCATTCAAGTAAGAAATTGTAACGATTTGCTGTTTTCTCATCAACTGTATAAACAGGATCATATTATTAGTGCGACTCTTCTCACGAAAAAGGATACATTTTTAACGAAGGAGGAATATCATCAACTCGTTTATTCTGCTTGCGTACCTATGCCGACGTTAGAATCTGGCTCTTTTTCGAAGGGTCGCAATGTGAAAACGCTCGACAATCATCCGGCAATTGAAACTGTCCCTCCAGCTATTTGGAAACCTCGTTGCCTGTGGTCCGGAAAGCAAGTATGTTTATTTGATTTCTTGATTATTACTAAGAATTGTTGACACTTCGTAGGTTTTAACGACAATCCTCAACTATGTCACCAGAGGGAGGCCTCCGTTTTCAATGGAAAGAGGTATACGTGTCTCGGGAGATTATATTGGGAAGACAAGCGAGGAACTGAAGGTTCTGGTTCGAGGAAACGATCTTCTTTGCGGTATCATTGACAAAGCTCAGTTTGGAAAATTTGGCTTGGTGCACACTGTTCAAGAGCTGTATGGTGCTGACGATGCTGGTCATCTTCTATCGGTTTTTAGCAGGCTGTTCACCTCCTATTTATTTGTGAGTGGAGTTATTCTGTTAACTCTCAAGTTTTCTAATTTTCTTTTCTTTTTCGTACTGTTCTGCAGATGCATGGGTTTACTTGTGGAATCGCCGACATGCTTTTGCTCCCAGGAGCGGAAGAGGAGAGAGCTGCTAAACTCGAGCCAGCGGAGAATGAGCTGGGTGACATTGTGCATGGGCGTTTTGTGGGTGTTGAGGACAAGAAACTGTCGAGTAAGAGGAAAAAAGTCTACATTGCTTTGGTTCTAACATGCACATCAATAGGCGTGGGAATTGAAGCAATTAAAGACATGACTGGGAAAATTCTTCAGCTGAGAGGTGATGCCGGCCGAGCTCGTCTCGATATGCTCATGTCAAGTGCTATGAATAAGGTGACTTCTGAAGTAAACAATGCACTCTTTCCGAAAGGTTTGGTGAAGCCTTTTCCTGAAAATTGCTTATCTCTGATGACGGTAACTGGTGCAAAGGGAGGAATGGTACGTAAACGTGTATATTGATGGTATCAGTGAGCTAATTGTAGTGTTACAGGTCAACTTCACGCAAATATCGTCAATGCTTGGCCAGCAGGAATTAGAAGGCAAACGCGTGCCAAGGATGGTGTCTGGCAAGACGCTTCCCTGTTTTCAACCATACGAACCTGTTGCCAGGTCCGGTGGGTTTATCAAAGATCGTTTCCTGACAGGTTTAAGGCCTCAGGAGTACTATTATCATTGCATGGCTGGCCGTGACGGGTATGCTGATACTTAAGTGGACTTTCAATAACTCACTATTCGTCTATGCTTGCAGACTTGTGGATACTGCCGTCAAAACAGCAAAGAGTGGATACTTGCAGAGATGCATAATAAAAAATCTGGAGTGCTTGAAAATCAATTACGACTTTACAGTACGTGATGCAGATGGATCGGTGATACAATTTTTGTATGGAGAAGATGCCGTGGACGTGACTAAGAGCAGCTGTTTGACGAACTTCGACCTTATGGCTACAGTTAAGACATATGAGCTTTTTCGTTTCCCTCACTGCCTTTTCTTTCAGAACCGCGACCTGATTACTCAAAAGCTTGGCTTAGGAGAACATGCCAAGGACGTGAAGAATATGAAGGCAATTGTTTCCAAGGACGCTTACATCACAGACATACCTGAGGCCATGGAACAGAAGTTTGAGAAGTTTATTGGTGGGCTCTCGGAAGGGAAGAAAAAGGCGTACAAATTGTATCGCAGGAGACACATCAAGGAGCTCAGAAGCGTGATGACGCACACGTACTTTGCTAGCCTCGCAGCACCTGGTGAGCCAGTCGGTGTTCTTGCTGGCCAATCTATCGGGGAACCATCTACACAAATGACGTAAGTCTTTCTGAGTTCCATCATTAGTAATGACCCTGGCTGTATACCATTGTGCAGGCTCAATACTTTCCACTTTGCAGGACGTGGTGAGATGAACGTGACGCTGGGTATTCCTAGGCTGCACGAAATCCTTACCGTTGCCTCCAAGGCTATCAAAACTCCTATAATGACGTGCCCGTTGAAGCCTGGGAAAACAAGGTTGGTAGAAAAGAAATTACTCTCTTTCTTACTATTGAGATTTCGTGTTCAGAGACGAAGGCCAGAAGCTTGCCGGCGTGATGACCAAGGTGATGTTAGCGGACATCTTGGAAGCGGTCGAAGTGAGTGCTGTTCCCTTCTATGTTCATCACGGTGTACCGTCACGGCTTTACAAAGTGAGACTACGTGTATATCCTGAAGAGCGTTTCCCGCCGCACCTTGATCTCAAAAATGAGGAGATAGACATGGCCATCAAGTCCGTCTTTGCTAAAGGAGTGAGGAAAGAAATCGAGAGGGAGATAAAGGCACTCACTTCGGCAAAAGACTCCATACAGATACTTGGAATTTCGGAGGACGAGCCTTCTCCCGCCGGGGAGGGTGAAAACGAAGGTGGGAAGAAGAAGGTGATCGAGGCTGGGGAAGTAGCTGAAGAAGATGACGATGATGATGATCAAGAAGAAGGGGCCGATGCCGAGAAACGGAAAGGGAGAACCACTGACGAGGCTGCTTATGAGACAGATAGCGAGCAAGAGGACGAGCAAGAGATGGATTTAGATGCTGAAAACGATATTGTCGACGGTGATAACGACGAAGAGAAGGGTGGTGAAGTTGTGGATGACGAGGAAGAGGGGCACGGGAAAGAGAAAGAGGGGAAGAAGAGCAGTAGCGTTCGGGCTCGTGGGAGAAGCTACGAGATGAAATTCCAAGCGAACCAGAACAGTCCGCAGCTCTTTCTTCCGAATGTAAGTTTTTTTTTACTGGTTCTTCTTTATGGCTGTTTCACGCTGGCTGTCTCGTGCAGATTGTCGAGAAAGTACTCAAAACCGTGACGGTACGGCGTATGAAAAACATCGAGAAGTGTAACGCGATTGAGCTTAACGGCAAACCGGAAAACCCCGCGCTCCAGACGGACGGTGTCAACTTCTGGGAACTCTGGTCTCTGCCGGACGATGTTCTCGACTTAAACAAGCTCACATCCAACGACATTGCCGCCATGCTCAACACTTACGGCGTAGAGGCAGCCAGAGCCACCATCGTGAGGGAGGTACAGGGCGTCTTCGGCTCGTACGGCATCTCTGTCAACGCCCGCCATCTCAGCCTCATTGCCGATTTCATGACGTTCCAGGGGGGTTACAGGCCACTCAACCGGGTCGGCATCGTCTCCAACCCGTCACCTTTCCTCAAGATGAGTTTCGAGACCGCGTCGCAGTTCCTCATAGATGCGTCTCTGCGGCGGCAAGTCGACGAGCTGGATACCCCGTCTTCACGGATTATTGTTGGGAGAACAGTGGGCCTGGGAACAGGATGCTTTGATTTGCTCCAGAAGACGGACATGCCGCAGTATTGACTTACAGTGTCCGGGTTTGGACGTATTTGATGGAGCACGAGAAGTGGACTCGGGTCTACGTGGTGCTGCCAAGGTGTTTCAATAAAGACGCGCGCAAGGCGGACGAACAACACGAGATGGCTACCTGGTATTTGAAGCCGCTGGATATTTATAAGGGGGAGCTGTGACAGGTCGGTGATTGCCAGTGCTAGATCGCTGCAGCCATTGTTCCTTTTAACTTTAGAGTCGCCACCACACCGATACGAAAGATCAACAACCATTATAGACGGACAACCTACAGTTGGCGAAGTGTCCCCGTCGGCGGCCAGGAGGGAAAAGAAAAGCAAAAGAACAAACGGAAAGGAGGAGAATAGGGGATGGAATACTCAAACTTTGCTCGGAAAACCAGCGGCCTATAGCGGAACAGAGCACCTGGTGCTGGTAAACGAGGAAGCGTATAAAAAGGAGAGTTGTGCCGGTGGCTTGTCCTTCTCGAATCGCCGATAGAAGTCCACAAAATCGTTCGTTGAGAGGGGAGGCGCCATCGACTCGTAACTAAATCGGAAGCAAGGAATCTTTAATCTCACTTCTGAGCTTCGAGTCATCCCAAAACTTACGGTGACATCGTGCCAGACGGACAGAAAACGAGATAGTTACGTCCCGGTTTTATGAGAAGGAAAACAAAGAACGACGGGAGTTCGTTCTCATAATTGGGACTCGAGAGGAGGAGCTTGAGCTCGTTTCTTTTCGTCGTATTGGTGGTTGCGAGCTACAGTGCCGGTCTCGTCAATCACTCCAAGTTGGTGGACACAGGTCGGGTGTCGGGAGTATTTTTACTCGCTGCTCCGGGACAAATAGCTGTCCGCATGAGATTCCTGGTCGCTAAAGATATAGAAAATTCGGGCTTCCTAGCCGAGAGGAAGCTCGGCTAGCCGGGCATGACCAACACCAGGGAGAGAAGTTTGATGAGCAGAGGCGAGCAGCACTGGACTTGATATCTCTCTCCCGGGAAGAGGCAATGCAGATGGATGGTTTCTCGGCTTCGAGACACGCAAGGCAATGCTGCTGCCGCTCGGCCGTGCTGTGGATCTTCGTCCTCAATGCATCTTCGGTACTCGCAGCTGTGACAAGGCAATACAATTTTCTGGTAAGTCGTCACACTCGATTCCCATCGTGCTTCTAAAGGAGAAAAGATGTTGCCATGCAGGTACAACCTCTTACCGTCTCGAAGCTGTGTAAAACTAAGTCGCTCATTGCCGTGAACAATCTCTTCCCTGGACCAGTTGTCTATGCCGATGAAGAAGATACGGTGGTGGTGAATGTGACCAACAATTGCCAATACAACATCACTATCCACTGGTTCTTGGATTTCTTCTCGCTTCTCTAGCAATCTCTAGTTACTCAAGATCGAATTTTGTGGCCAGGCATGGGATACGGCAAATTCGATCCGGCTGGGCTGATGGACCAGTGTATATCACTCAGTGTCCACTGCAAACAGGGGACACATACCAGTATAAGTTTAAGATCCAAAGGCAGAGTGGAACTCTTTGGTGGCACGCTCACGATACTTGGCTTCGAGGGACCGTGCATGGAGCGATTGTGGTGTTTCCCAAGACTGGAGTGCCTTATCCGTTCCACTACCCGAGAGAAGAGCACATTATTCTGATTGGTAAATTCCTTTGATTCTGAAGTTTTCATTCTTGCCTTCTTGTTCTTGTTCCAGGGGAATGGTGGAACGCAAACGTCGAAGATGTCGAGTCGCAGTCCTTACTGACGGGAGGAGCCCCGCAGCTGTCAGATGCTTACACCATCAATGGTCATCCTGGGCCACTTTACAATTGCTCATCCCAAGGCAAGCTTTTTCTTTTTGTTCTTTTCTTCTTCTGGAGCATACTTCTAAACTTCTCAAGCCCCAAACACAGACGTGTACGTTCTCAAGGTCTTTCCCAACGAGCACTACCTCCTGCGCATCGTCAACGTTGCTCTCAACCAGGAGCTCTTCTTCACCGTAGCCAACCACAACCTCACGGTTGTGGAGATCGACGGCGACTTCACCAAGCCATACACAACCAGCACCATCTTTCTCACCCCGGGCCAGAGCACCACCGCGCTCTTCATCACAAACCAACCCACGGCCAAATACTACATGGGAGCCAGTCCATACAGCTCCGCCGCGGGAGTGCCATTCCCGACGACGCCAACTCTAGCAATCGTCGAGTACCAAGGCTCGTCGAACTCGACCCCGCCAGTAATGCCGACGTTCCCAGCGACCAACGACACTGGCCTCGTCGCAAACTTCTCGGCCAGCCTGAGGAGCCTGGCGGACACGACTCATCCGGAGCCAGTCCCACAGACAGTGGACAGAAGCTTGCTCTTCACGATCGGCCTCGGGACAAAGCCGTGCGGTGAAAACCGGGTGTGCCAGGGGATCGCTGGGACCAAGCTCACGGCCTCCATGAACAACATCTCCTTCGTCCTTCCCGACATCGCTCTCCTCCAGGCCTACTACAACAACATCTCCGGCGTCTTCACTCGCGACTTCCCGGACACACCGCCGATAGTTTTCAACTACACGGGGACTCCTCCGAACAACACCACCCCGCAACGAGGGACCCGGCTTCTCGTCATCCCATACAACGCAAACGTCCAGATGGTTTTCCAGGATACGAGCATCCTCGGCGTCGAGAACCATCCCATTCACGTCCATGGATACAGTTTCTACATTGTCGGGCAGGGGACTGGCAACTTCAACTCGAGCCAGACGAGTACTTTCAACCTGTTTGATCCTCCGCGACGGAACACCGTCGGAGTTCCAGTTGGAGGGTGGGCTGCTATTAGATTCAAGGCTGACAATCCTGGTGAGCTTCTCTTCTTTCAGAGCTTTGTTTTTTTTTTTTTGGTGGTTTTTATGTGACAACTGTTTTTCAGGTGTTTGGTACATCCACTGCCATTTAGAGGTGCACACAATGTGGGGGTTGACGATGGCTTTTATTGTGCTTAACGGTGCTCGGGCTAACGAAACTTTGCCGCCTCCACCGCCAGATCTCCCGCGATGCTAGTAAGGTTTTTACAGATATGATTCTTTTGATCTTGGGCCAGCCAGCTCGAGATGATAATGCAAGGAAAAGATGATCTTGAGAAAGAAAAGGAATTTTTCTCGTTAGTCTCTCTTGAGTGGGATGGGCTGGACGTTGTCAATCTTGTGAGGGACGTTCTTAAACTTGGAGAGGACGAATCTGGGAGACGGAGGATTGGGGTGCATTCGATGGAAGCACGCGTGAGCGGACATAACTGTGGCCTTGTTGGTCTTTGGAGGAATGAAGCAGATCCTGGGTAGGTTGTATTTGTGCTGGTGGAACATTTGGAGTTTGATCCACTCGTCGGCATAGCCGTTCTTCATCACCTTACCCATGTCCTCGTTCCTGTTAAAAGAGAGAACGAGAAAAAAAATCGTTGTTTTCAGAAGATCGATCGAAAGAAGCATACTTTTCTCCTCTGCAACCATAGACGTGATAAGGATTTTTCTCCGAGGGGAGTGGAGGTGGGGTTCCCTGGAACAAATCAAGGGAATCTTAGACGAACTCTCTATCGTTTTCTCCTTTTATTTTTTTCTGGTTAGAACATACCACTCGTTGGCTCACTGGCAAGGGACAGTAGTGATTCTTCCGGAAGGGTCGAATTCCTGGAGCTTTCACGATGTGGCTGACAGTGGCACATCAACATCCAACCACAGAAACATGAGAAACAATGGAAATGAATAGAAAAGAGAGTGAAGAACCCACGCAATGGTGGCGAGCCTGTTCATCTGGATCAAATCGGGGCCGTTGATAGCGTCTGGATCTGGGATATGTTCTCGGTGCGTCATCACTGCATCAAGCAAGCTCACTTTTTTTGTTTTCGTTCGTAAAAAATATCTACCTTCTCTCACTCCCTCGGCCTCCAAATCGTTGCAAACGCCATAGATGTAGTTGGGCTCTGGAAGATCCTGAGTGGGCTTCTTCACCTGGGGACGAGAGAGAGAGAGAGAGCTGATAAAAAATGAAGCAAGAAAAGAGAGGGACACTCACCGCTCCAAGTCGAGGCTTGAGCAGCAGTGAATTTGTCTGGAAGGACTTGCGAACGGTGCCCATCCGCGGCACATTGTGCTCGTCATAGACGAAATTGGCAGGAGTGGGCATGGCGTGTAACAATCGGATTTGCAGCAAATAGCGATGATCAGGTGGATGAATTTCCTCCAAGAAAGAAACTCGCGGCCGGTTGGCGTGCAGCGCGATGATCGGCGCGTCACAGTGGAAAGAGCACCGATTCTCTCTTTCGGTCTTTGGCGCCAGAAATGCCCGCAACGGTGGTTTCTAGTCTGGCGCGCCAAATCTGATGTGGCAGTATCTTTGATCGTTGGCCGTTGACTACGTCTAAAACGTTGCTTCAAGTCCAAGTATTAGTGGAGGAGGTGAGGACACAAATGCGAACAATTTGATTAGCAAGTGAACTTCTTTGAGAACTTTGTCATCAATTAAACTTAGTCATATGCTAGCTAGAGCAAGGGAAAATTCAAAATTCCATATAGGATTTGAACTCGAGACATGAGTCTGCCCCCTTAGACCGCTCGGCCCTTGTCATACTTAAGTTGTTAAACTTCTCTACGAAATTGGAGTCTAGAAACTATTAGTTAATCTTGATCAACCACTTGGCAATGCATATGCATGCTGGAGCTTAAATCATAGTATATAAGCTCCAACCATTCACAATCAGCAAGCATTGATTAAGCTCCAACAATCACCACCACTACAACAATGAAGGCTGCTTTGTTGTTGCTTCTGGTGTTTGTTCTTGCTACTCTCCAGATAGCAGTGTCTTCTTCTTCTTTGGGTAGAAGGGAGCCTTTGTCTTTGGAAAATGGTGTTTCTGACTCATCAGCAGTAGAGCCAGCGTCCACTTCTCTACATCCTCCTGAGGTGGATGGTGATCATGATCATAAAGATGGAGGTTCTTCAGTCCATGGCTCTCACAAGCGGAGCAACAACAACAATAACAACCACATCATCATTAATATCAACATTTGCAGGAAGAAATCTAAGAATGATGAAGATTCAAAGCACAAGGACAAGGGAGAGGGGAACAAAAAGTTTGATCCTTAGAATACAAGATCCATCATTTGTAGATTAATAGAACCAATAAAGTCTCAAAATAAATTCTTGTCTCAAGCTAAGTTTCCGAGAATAGAAAAAATTGATCTATAAGGTTTAAATAGATGAATGTGTCAGAAGTGGGATTTGAACCCACGCCCTTACTAGAGGAGCAGAACTTGAGTCTGCCGCCTTAGACCGCTCGGCCATCCTGACTTTTCATGAGTTTTATGCTAAATTAAAATTTGTGATTGCATGTGGTCTGCGATGGTAGACCATATAAGGCCTCCAAGCTCCAACCAGCTCCTATTTGTGTTTCTAGAGCTTGCATTTGCCACTTTCCAATTACATTGTCTTCTTCTTCTTCTTCGAGTACAAGGGAGCTTTTCTCTTTGGATAATGGTGTTGATGTTCCAGAGGTACTAGAACTCTCTAATGCATTCGCCAGAGATGGATGATTGTGAAGATGAAGTCCATAGGTGAGGCAAGCACAGGAAGAACAGCAACAACAACAACATCAATATCAATATCAACATTTGCAAAAGGAATTCTATAGATCTTTTCCGGCTCACATTTGCTGCTCCAGAGCTCTGCTACGTACCACCGCCATTGCTGAGGAGCTGGATCTGCAAATCCCCACTCTGACAGAGTTGAATCACAACACTGAAAATAAGATAGTTCTTCGTTCTCATCCTAAATTATCACCCTCTGGATTGAGCCCTTAGTCAACTTAACACATTCAAAGGCCCGGATACTTCATTTGGAGCGAGGCACGAACGTATTCTCTAGCGTCTTTGATCTCTTTAAGAGGATCCTCTTCCTTCCTCCCGGAATTGTGGAGCTGCGCATAGCCTCCACCGCAGTAGCCACTCATTATATCCATCTCTGGAACGTCCTCCTCTACCTGTCCTTGTTCCTCATCAGGCCTCTCCAGCAGCGTCTCTACGCCATCCAGTAGCTTCCTCCACAAGATCTGGTCGCCCACAAGCACTTGCGACTCGCACAAAAGCCTCGCCGACGCCACAGCACAGAGCTTAGTCTCGATTCTCCCCGAGATGTAGCTCAAAGCCGGGATCCACAGCTGCTCGAGCACGTTGATGGAGAGCCCCGGCTGCAACCTGTTGATGGAGTCAACCAGCGCTCCGGGACCGTGCTTGACGGTGAAGAGCGCCATGAAGAGCGTCAGGAGCTTGAGGAACTTGACAGTGCGCTGGCCTCCCATGGCTCGGGAGAAGAAGGACGTCCAAAGGCTCCGATCAATTGCCTGTATCAGCTGCTCCTGCCCGAGGCTCTCCACCACCGCATTGGCGATGTAGAAGGCATAGTCCTCAGTGCTCCTCCGCGACACCAGTGCATGGACAAGGTTGCAAACTTCCTGGAGCTGGTTTGCCTGTGCTATCTCCCGCGGTGCCTTGAGCAAGAAGGCCTCGAGGAGCCGGATCATGGCAGGGGTGCTCCCCGACGACTGCTGCGAGAGCTGGGCGAGAAGCATCGGGAAGAGCTGGAGATACACTCCGGGGATGGGCTGGGCTCTTGACTCAACCAGCTGCGCAAGTACCTGGAAGACGTATGGCTGGAACTCCACGACGTTGTTTTGGAGGATGGATTGGAACACCGGGAAGAGCCGCCCCTCAAAGGCCATAACGACGTCTAGATCGCGGTGGTGGCAGGCCTTTCTCACGAGCACGGACACCGACTCGAAGACATAATGGTTGAACGCTGGATTGGCCGGGTTGTCTCGAGCTCGGATGACGATCTCCATCAGTCCATCCAGGTGGCGCATGCCTGCTTGATCTTCCACCAAGGATAGAACTCTCATGATGCACTTCATCACGTAAGGATTGTCCTGCGAGCCCAGACGCTGCAATCCACTGAGCGAGTTTGCCAGGAGCTGGTCCTGGAAGGGAGCCAAGTCCGCCGAGGAGAAGCGTGGCGCTCCTCCGTCTCTCACCAGCAGCAACCTGTCCACGCACCATGCGGCATACGAGCAAACGACCACGGAGTCACTGAGCAAGAGCTTGATGATCTGCGGCATCAGTCCCAGCGCCACAGCTTTGGAGGCGGCACTTCTAAAGCTTGTGACGAACTTGAGCGCACTGGCCTGGAGGAGGAGCTCGTTTTCTTGGAGTGCCGGGATGATCTGCGACGCAAGGAACTGCTCCACGTTGACGAGATCGGTGGTAGCTCCAACTGTGAAGCTCGACTGCCTCTGTGCCAAGGCAACGATCAAGTAGATAGCCGTGTCCTTGTCTTTCGAGCCCGAGCTTACACTACACAAGCGTTGCAGCAACTCGGCCATTAAACTTTTAACTGGCTCCCTGTAGTGTAGCATGAGCCCTTTGATGAGCTCGGAAGACACACGTCTTCTTGTGTCCATGTCGCTCCCCTCGATATCTCTTTGGATGTATTCCCAAGGATTGTCTCTAAAGAGCTCCTCGTCTTCCTCGCGAACTGCACAAGAAGAGAGTGATTCATAAGAAAAGATTCCTACGTAAAGATGGAAGGATTAAAAAAAACTTACTTCGAACATTTGGGATGACAATGCGTTCGCAGATCTGTCTCAGAGTATCAGCCCCGCTGAAGAGCCCATGATGCACGCTCTTGCTCACCGTTGTCAAAAACTTCACGGCGGCCATAGCCAGTTGGTCTTGTGCTGGTTGCAAAGACGTGGACATCAGTAAGCTCCCGACACTTGTTGCAAACGTCGGAAGGAAGTCTCGAAACTCCTCCTCGTTCTTCTCCATGTAGAGGTTGATGTTCTCACACACGGCCGTCTTGACTTGATCCATGATGCCAGTCTCGCATGATGTGAGAGCTGGATTTTCATACGAGAGATAGTACTCAAACTCGCCCATCCATTCCTTGATGTGGTCCTCGAAAAACTCTGGAAGCTCTTGCGAGTTGAGCGAGTAGAAGATCCGGCAGCACTGTTTCTGGCACTCAAGCAGCGTCTCGAGAGTAGCTGCATCCACAGGTGTAGTAGCCTTTATCACAGCCCCGATCTTCGTGAAAACTTCCAGCAGCGGCGCTGCGAATCCATCCAAGCAGTACTTGAGATCCGAATACAGCTCCGGGCTCTTGGACCCATGCCCAAACTTCTGGAAGATAGAGTTGACAGCCCGCAAGATCACGTGGATGGAAGCATAGCTTGTGGATGATGACAACCTCATGACGAGTTCCGGCAGCAACCCTTTCCAGTTGTTTGGGAAATCATAGCTACTGATAATTGCCACAGCTTGACGTAGGAAGCTCTGGATTCTCGGCGGTGAGGCCAGCATCAACCTCACCACCAAGCTCTTGATCTGCTCCTTCTCACTATCTTGGATCCCCAGCGTGATCTCGTCGCTAGGATTCCATCGAGTCTTGACATGGTTCTTGAAACTGGAAGCCAATGCTTGGCAGTACGTATCGTCCTGCGTGATCGCTGTTGCCTCGCCCAGAAGCTGGAGGAGGGCGATGCCATAGCCGGGATGATTCGACGCGTTGCTGATGTAGAACTCTGCCTCTAGATCGGGCCCAAGAGATGGAGAGGAGATGCGCACGAATGCCTGAGAGAGAGCCACCATCGTTCGTAAAGGTTTCATAGTAGGTTTCCAAGTCCTTTTATATTATAGTCTAAGGAGAAGAAACTTCCAAGGTTTAGGGTTTAAGGTTTAGATCGCGATCACCAATTCTCTCTTTCGGTCCGCAGGTTTTAGATTTCTCGTACACTGTCTTTCTCAATGACCAGCCATCAACGCTCTTCACATTCTTCTGTAGTTACATCTTAAGGTTGGTGTGCTTACAGTTTATCAGCACTTAACAGCTTATCAAGCAATTATGTCAAGCAATTACAGTTGCGAATGGCGGAACTAATGTCGATGTGCATGAGAATAAAAGAAAAAAGAAACAAATGTGCAGTTGCTGCTTTTGTTTGGCTTGTTTCCAAGTCAGAAAAGCAACAGGGGGATCTAAGAATCTCTCACAGCGCTGCCGGCACTCTTCTTCTTCTTCCTGTTGATGAACTCCTTGAGCAGCCGGCTGACGTGAGTGAGATTTGCGCGAGGCTCCCATGTCGATTCCTGCACACTGTATCCCTTCCACTTCACCAGATACTCACGACCCCTCCGCCCATCACACGCAAGTCGATCCTCCAGGATCGACTCCACCTCCCACTCGGGCTCCCCGTCCACGACCACCATCGTCCCATCCTCGGGCGTCTCCTCCTCCTCTTTGAGCATCTTTTGCTTTCCTGCATCGTCTCTGCTGCTTCTTCCGGCTCCCGCTTGATCTGCTGGAGCCCCGCTGCTGTTGTGGCCAGTGCCTCTCTTCCCTTCTTCTTCGGCTCCTTTCCGGGACGGATCAGTCGAGCACTGCGCCTCCTCTGCTTTGAGAGCTTGGTTTACCGCTTGGCCAACTTCTTGTTTGATCTTGTCTTGGCTCTGCATCGGGTTGTCACGGCACACTGCTGTTCGCTCGACCTTTCGCAGTCGCTTGAGCCGCCGCTGGGACGCTCTCGATCCGTTCAGCTCGGACGAAACTTGCTGCTCACTGCCATCCTCGCGGCTTACGCTTGTTTGAATCCCTCGAGGTCTTTCTTCTCCTTCTTCGTCTCTCGCAGCAGCATCCGGAGTTGGAGCCGCAAGCGTTGGGCTCTGGTACTTCTTCCGGAGTTTCCTGGTTTTTGGCCGCGAATCCTGGCTTCTCTCAACTGTCCCCGCGGAAACCTGCCGATCAAGCTCCGAGGAAACCTGCTTCGAGTGTTCGTGTTCGTCCCTCGGAATGGAATGAGAGGCTCCTACATTGTCCCCGATGACAAGCAGCGTCTTCTCCTTCTTGTTCTTCGTTCCCTGGATTGGAGCCGCCTGCTTTCCACCACCGAGAGAAGCCGAATTCACTACCCCGCTCGAGGGTGTCGTCTCTCGGCTCGGACCTCTCCCACTGCTAAACCGGATCAAGCTACTCAACCTGAAAACACCCTCCACACCCATGGAGCCCGGCACCTGGATCCGAAAACTTGCCTCGGACAAGCACTCCTGGATCTTATACGGCCCAACGAACTTGGGAGGCTGGATTGTGGCATCAATCTCCTCGGTACTCAGCAGCACAAGATCACCCACGCAAAAAGGCTCTGGCATCGTCGCCATCGCTGCTAGTTACCCAAGAGAAGGCCCAGACTCCCACCTTGTCATCTGTGGAAGAAGCAATCCCGAGCTTTAGGGTTAGAGCGAGAGAAATCGTTTTCTCTTATTTTGGGTCGAGGTGGCCACCGTGCTTGAAACCTTCCACCACGTCATCGAACATTTCCTCCAGTCCCTTGAGCTTCATGCCGAGAAAGTTGACAAGCTTGTCGTTGCACAAGCCTTTGTACGGTTTCTTCGAGGCCGGAAATCTGGAAGAACGAGTCAAGGGAAAGAAAAAGAGAAGTTTTGCATGGCTTACGTTGGTATCTTGTAGTCCGGGTACCTCTCGGCCAGAAACTCGGTGAGCTCCGCGTTCGTAGCATCCACTGCCGAGCAGATGTAGCGTCCGTTTGCAGCTGGGTTTTCGAAAGCGCGGATGTGAGCGGTGGCAACGTCGTCCAAGTGCACGTAGCCCATGAACTTGAAGTTCTCGAAGCGTTTGTCGTTACCTGGATCGAGCTTGAGAACGAAAGAAACGTTTTTGCTCGTACCTTGGAAAAGAGAAAGGGAGTCGGCTGCGCTGGCCGTCGGTACTGGTGGCAGCGTGTACCCCACGATAAAGCTCGGGATGATTGTAACGAGGTCGAGATTGTTGGACTTCGCAAACTCCCAGGCGGCTTGCTCGGCGAGAGTTTTTGATAGCGGGTACCAGAACTACAAAAAGAGATGGATAATTAATATGTAAGTACACTTCTAGCAACCTTGTTCTCGCGGCACAGCTCCGAGGAGCTCCAAATAGACTCGTCCAGAAACGCATCCTGGGGGAAGGAAGCGGCGAAGCGCACTGCTGACGTCGACGACGTATACACGACACGCTTGACAGTCGATGGCTTCTTGCAGGCTCGCAGAACGTTTAAAGTTCCCAGCACAGCCGGATCAACAATCTCGGCCTGAAAAAGGAGAACAGCATTCTCAGAGAACGTAAGGAAGAAGCGGTGCTTACTTGCGGATCTTTGGCAGTCATGGTGACAGCACTAGCAGCGTGAAAAACCCCTTCACAGCCGTCAACAATGGAGTCGAAGACGCCCTCTGAGAGAAGGTCTGCTTTGAAGAGCGTGAGCCTCTCCTGTGCACCACTGAGCTTCCAGAGATGCGACGTTTTGTTCGGATCATCTGCACGAAGGCGATAGAACCTTAAAGTTCGTCCATAGAAACGATTAAAATGAGAACTCAAACTCACCTGGATCCCTCACGGTGCCTCGGACATAATACCCCTCTTCCAGCAGCCTTTTCACCAGCCAGGATCCCAAGAAGCCCGATGCGCCAGTGACACACACCGTCGCCATAGCTGAAACCCAACAAAATAAAACTGGTTGGTTTGTACTCGTTCGTATTCGTGACTCTGACCGAGAAGACAACGTTAAGCCCGCCCCTGCGTTATGCCATAGTCGAGAATCAAGAGCACTTAAATTTCAGATCCTTACCTCGCGGTTGCTCGAGCCGTTATTACTCTATAAAACTCCATCACTCGTCATGGCAATCCAAGTTTCGACATTTACAAATTACAAAAACAAGTTACATCGATTCTGAAGTACCAGACCGCACTAGCTTCTGCTTTTGCAACTCGGCATTAGACAGGCGTTCAGCCTCCAATGCAAGCTCAAGCTGGTGTGCAACAAAACACAAAAGACCATTTTAATACAGAGCGGAAAGAGCATCACTAGCTACCTTTGCTGTTCTTGCGCTCCACTCGTCCAGCATAGCCCGGAGCCTTTCGTTCTCTTCGACGTACTGCACAACAAGATCAGTTTTCGTTTGTTCAATCGCATCTACCTTATCGTTCAAAGTCTTCACTCGTTGGATATCGGAGTCCTTCTCGGCAATAAAACTTCTCGCCATGCGTATCTCACCTTGCAATTGATCTCTCTACAGTTTCACCCGTCAAAGTCGCCAACAATAAGTTAGAAAAACGTTCACGTACCTCAGCTGTTACTGCACGTAGTTCTTGCTCACGTGCTCCAAGCAAATGTGCCACATCGACCTGAGCCAATATGAAGTTGTTCACGTGAGAAATAGATATCATACCTGGGGCGTGGTGCCATCTTCTTGTGAGCATTCATATTTACTCAACATCTCTTGCAATCGCAGAACCTGGACGGGGCAAAATGTCGATACGGTCAACGGCTGACATGAAGTGCAAACCTCTTCACTCAAAAAGCACAGGTTTTCTTGCTGATAACGCAGGAGCGTTGCCTGCTGATCGGTTAAGCTTCCACCATCAATGTACCTGGAACATCACATACAAAACTAAGTGAACACGCTTCGCAAACCAGATAAAGAACCTCAAATCACCCAGTGGGGTAGGCGACTGAAGAGCGGAATAGAGCAAGTGCATTGCATCTGGTTGAATGTCTGAAATGTGGTGGGTTCGAACAGCCCCTGGAGAAAAGAAAGAAGGTCAACTGCAAGTATCACATCACGGAGGAACTGTACTCACATATGTATAACCCCATCAATGCCGCAGCCCAAAGAATTTCCATCAGTAGAATGAACCTGGCAGCGTGTGTCAAGCACAGCTAAGAACTTATAACTCCCACCTGATCAACAAGAACGAAGAAATCCTTGCGTTCATCAGGAACGGCTGCCAAGACAGCACCAAAAGAAGAACCATGTTTCCTGCCAAGGAAAAAGAAAAAGAAAAAAATAAAAACAATAAAAAGAAGAAAAAAAGAAGAAGAAAACTTACCGATCGCTATAACGATGCAAGGCAGCTGAATCAAAGCCTCCAGTCTTTCACTGAAATCGAGAAACCCCTTCAATAAAAATTTACCAACAGTTTGACAGGCGACAAGTTTGCCTTGAACAAGTACCTGCCGACGTTCCTTCTTCACTTGAGCGGCCAAATGGCGCTGGAGCAAGCCTGACACGAAAGAATCAAAGAAATATTGCAATAGAAAAAAATCAAAAGAATCAAGATGAACAGCACGAGAAAGAATCATGACGAACAGCACGAAAAATTACGACAATATCGCGTAAGAAAAACGCACAAATACACACACACACACACCTGTGAAGAGATACATCACAACATTGGCGCTGCAAAGCATCGGAGTAAGGTACGCATAGTCTAATCCCAGAAACGAAGAGCTGATCACGAGACCCGCAAAGCCCGCCTGGAATAAGATCGCTACAAGTAACCATCCAAAGAAACCATGAAAAACAATGGAATTTTCCAGGTACCAGCAAGACGCAGTAGAGGATCGCAGCCACTCTATCAGCGCGCTGCCGATGAGTTCTCGCCGGTGGCTCCAATGCCGCCTCGACAAAACTAGCACACCCACATCGAGATCACCTAGCTCAGCTGAGAAAGAATGAGTGAACTCGGGCTTACTGATCGCCATTTGCGAGAGGGTCTCTGAGTGACGAGTCCTCTTCCGGTGGAAGAGCTCCGCTGCTCCATCGCACCATGTAATCCATCGCGCGGCAACCCTAAATTCTCCCTGTCCCTCTTCCTCGGAGATAATGCCACCTAAAACAATAGAGCTTTGCTCTTAGCTTATTGCTGGGATTTTAACACCGGGAACGCAATCACGTCTCCTATGCTTGGACTGTCCGTGAGAAGCATGACGAGGCGGTCGATCCCAATTCCCTGGAGAGGTATAAAAGGAAGAGATTTCTACCAGTCACTCCAAGTTTTAGAACTCTCTTACCATTCCGGCGGTGGGAGGCATTCCATACTCCAGTGCCGTGAGGAAGTCTTCGTCTAGAGTGACTTCGTATGAGTCGTTCTTGTGTTGCTTAACCGCCGATTCGCCGCGGTCTCGCGCAGCGGCTGCTGCCTCTTCCAGCTGCTTGTTGTGAGCTCGGATTTGCGCTTCGAACCTGGCTCTCTGATGACAAAAGGCTGCTTGAGTCACGGGATGGCAAGGAGAAACAAGAGCACGAACCTGTTCTATCGGATCTGTCAGCTCCGAGAATGCATTGGCCAGCTCCCGGCCACAAATGTAAAGTTCGAAGCCCTCGACCAGGCCTGGAAAGCTGCAAAGAACCATTCCCTTTAACCGACGAAATAGAATATAGAAGAAGTTACTGAAAGAAAGTCACCTCCGATGGGCTTTGGCAAGGGGAGAGACTTCGACCGGGTGATTAGTGACGAACGTTGGCTGTATTAGTGTTTTCTCCACGACTGCTTCGAACACCTGAGCCACCGCATCATTACGTTTACAAACCGACGGAGACGAAGAAAGTAAATGTGCACCTCATTTAGAACGTTTCCGACTGTTGCGCAGTTTGCAATAACAGTTTGGAGAGATTCGTCTTTCCGGGGTGATAATGCTGACAAAGCCGCCGATTTTGCTGCCGAAAGCACTAAAGTCGATTCCAGTGGCCTCCTGAACCAGTGACTGCATGCTAGCCCGCCTCCACCGGGTTTTTCTAGCGCTATTTCTTTTCCCTGGCAATTGAAATGGAAATAAGGTAAGGTACACAAAGTAGACATACTTGATAGAGTAGCTTCGCGTTTCCGAGGATGGCTTCCGCACATTTGGCAATGAGGTCCTCGGCCAAAGCCATCATGTCGTTGTAGTCAGCATACGCTTGATATATCTGAATCGTAAATCCTTAACTGAGAGGGAGTAACAAGGTTACTTACCTCCATGGACGTAAACTCCGGATTATGGCGCGTAGAGATTCCTTCATTCCTGAAGATGCGGCCAAGCTCGTCGACCCTTTCAACCTACACACAAGGCAATCCGTAAGCTGATGCCTTTCCCGTATAAGCGATGGTGCACAGACCGGCACCCACTTTAAATGTAGCTCAGTAGCAATGCGCAAGACAAGATCCCGTTCCACTGAATTATGATGCGTTATGGATGGTCTGGCATCTGCTCCTCGAGCTCCCCCCTGCATAGAATGCAGTAAACAATATCGTCATCCGCATTCGGTCCGACATTCATATCACCAATGTCAAACTTTCACCATTTGCTTTGTCACAATAGAGCGCAAGCCATGAAAGATAGATCGGTACCTGGATAGAGGCTGAATCCTCTCGAATTCCCAAGAAAGCGAGCTTTCCAAACGCTCGGCGAGCAAAAATCCGGCCAGCCACAGACACACGATCCTCGTCCACCCCTCCGGCCGGTAAGTCGTCGGTATTTTATTTCTCCTGGAGCTGCGTGGCCTTGTGTGTCCGATTCCAGGACTACGCACAAGGCTCAATGCCTAGGCCTCGCATTTCCTCCACCTGGATCGAGCAATCACGAGTAAATTTTCACCTCCAGGACGACCACCGCCGGCATTACCTTCTTCAGGCGCAATCCCCGCACGTCCCTGCCCGATGCCAATGCCGAATCCTCGCCTCCATCGCCAGCACTCTTGGAAATCCTGGAAGGAACCTCGGTGCTGCTGGCGCTGCTGCTGAGTGAATGCAGGATCCTTGGCACCGCTTCTGAGTACGGACGGAGCAGGAGGGGCACACCATCGCCCTAGCGCCACCGCCCGAAAGGAAGAGAATAAAACTTTATAAATCCTAAGGAGGGGTTTCTGGCGAATCCGAGTTAAAACTGGACAAAAGGACTCCAGGGTTATGGTTAACAAGTTAAAAGTCTCAAAGATTTAATATTACTTATTAAAATGTCAAAAATTAAATTATTAAATGATTTTATGGCTAAAATAAAGATAAAATTTTGTGAGGTTAAGGAAGTAAAGTTTTTAGTTCAAAATGTTAATTTGAACTATTGGTAATAGTGTGGATTAGTCGAAGTAACCAAGTGGGAAAGATAGCTAAGAGAAATGAATTGTAATAATACAATGGTATTGCAAATTTAAGAAAGAGACTTATGGGTGGGTTACTAAATTAGGCCGTACATAAAGTCCATAGCAAAAAATGCTAAGAAAATTTACTAGGGGTGAACAATTTTTAGATTTGGCAAAGTTGAGCTTTTGCTATGGAAACAAAAGAATATCTCGAGACTAATGGCTAAATTTAGGTTATAGAAATCATTAGAAGAAATTCAAATAACAAAGTTGAGCAAAAAACACTTATGTGTTAGATGCTAACAAATCATGGAAAAGAGAATATATTTTCAAGAATAGATTTCTAAATATTCCAATTTGGCAAAGCTCCAAGGGAGGGAGTAGCAAAATAGCAAATGTAAGCTCCTGAATTTGGACTTTTCGAGAGGTCACTCAGTTGAATATTATTCAAACCTAATGATGTTTAACTTCAAATATCCCAAAAAACCCTTAACCGATTGAAAAAAAAGTGCATTTTTCTTTATAATTGAAGTTATTTTATTAATTGCTTATAATCCACCACACTTCCTTATAAATTCACACCCTTGTGAATAAAAACTGAGAAATACAACTCTTCCAAGAACTTCATTATTTTAACACTTTCGAGCCCAGTGGGAGCAAATTAAACTTGCCAAATGTCAATTAATATATAGTATGATTCCCATAACCAATCAATAAAGTCGGACTAAAACCCTTTTAATACACAAATTAGAAAGAAAAAATTTATACATTACAGTGAAATGATAGGACTATAAACAGCCCTAACACGAATTATAAATTAATGGAACTTAGTGCCTAAACATAAACCATAAGAAACCTGAATAATACAACATACCACATGCAAAAAAATAGAAAAGGAATCTTTCAGTTTTAATAATTATGCTCTTGATTCTAGAATCTAGAAAGTCCTTAAATCTCACCACCTAAGATAATTCCATCTGCACCTCTGCAATGGAGAAAAAAATTCAGATTATTTCTCAAAAAAAATCTCAATTTTACTTACTCTTTTTCACACTGAGCTTTGGCTCCAAACACTTGCGCATTACTGTGTTCTTAACCCATCCGAACATTCTATGTGCATACGTCTTCTGAACTTGTTCTAGTTTCCTCATGTCTGCAGTAGAATCCAGAGAGATGTCGACCAGGTCTTTCACTTCGTCCTTGGATGAGAATGCATCCAAACCTGGAGTGCAAAAGATAACATCAAGTGATTGAAAATGAAACAGCACAAACGTACCTTCAATAACCACAATGTGTTGGAGACGATCATCTGAAGCAAAATACCGTTCCCATGACTTGAATACCGGGTGTGATCTATCCCCATCATAGCCTTTTGTCCATTCCTGAAGGCCTTTGCATTCCAGATGAGCATCATGGAGAGCCATTGCCATGGAATGATTTGTAGGCTTCTTCTTCAGCAATGCCTCTGCGACAAGTTTCCTAGTTCTGTAACGAACACTGCTGGAAGGCACATGGGCCACATTCAAAACCAGACGGGCATATGGCACCTTCAACCCAGTCCAACCTTGAGGCCCTGCACTGCTACTGAACATCTGAGAAAACTCCGGAGAGCATTTAGCACATGCTAAATCAACATCATGTTTCTCTGTGTGTTTCACCTGCACCAAAATGAGTGTCATCGTCTCCAGGCTAAACGTGTCACCAAAGAACCCAACGATGACGATGTCTATGCCCCATTCATTTTCACAGCAAATGATTCCTACGCCAGCCTTTCCAAATTCAAGCAAATCTTTTGCGGTGAGCTCCTGCAGTCGGAAGTCGGTTTTCCTGAATAGCAAGCAAAAAAACTTGGCTTCACCCATGTTTCTGTGGATTTCTTCTTTACCACTTCCATCTATAGAGCCACCTGCTTGTTTTGTTTCCCCTTCACCTTCAGCAGTGTGCGTACTTCCACCTGGAGCTTTCGAGGCCGTCAGCGTTGGAGATGGCAACTTCACCTCAGGTGGCGGCGTCTTTACTTTGACCTGCGCGTTTTCTCCTGGAGCTTTGGACAGGGACGCTGAAGCCACCTGCGGCTGACCCGGAATTTTTTTGTTTCCTTTAACCCTTCTCCTACGCTTCAAAGCCGAGGCCGGAGGTGGTGGCATGTTTACTTCGACCTGCACTTCTCCTCCACCATCTGGAGCTTTGGGGGTCGGAGATGCTGAATTCTGCTCACCTTCTCTAATAAGATCGGACAGCGACTTCCCACTTAAGCCACGGCAAAGCTCGTCAAAAGTAAAGCACTTCCATGAATTTCTGCCTAGACTATCCACTGCAAGTAGGAGCAGCACCCGTGCAACCAACTCGCCCCTGTAACCTCGATCAACCCATCCACGCTTCATCCCAGTTACAAGTGCCTCCAAGCACTCCTTCCACCCTGTCCCAACCTTCCCTTGTGCACGCAAAACCTGTGCTGCAGCCGCTGCAACCAGTGGCTCCGTAGCCCAATGCGTCCAAACAAGAGTCCGGTCATCAGAAATGGACATCACGCTAAGTAGGTGACTTGCAACCATATCAGTGATAATTGTGGCATGCGGATTGATGTCAATGCATACTCTGCAGCCCAGTGTAGCCAGACAAGCCTCATGTGATAGACCTCCTCTTTCAAGCATACACTTGTCGAACGAACCAGTGCCACCCAGGAGCTTATCTACAGCCAAAAGCAGCACGTCACGTGCACTTGCGGAAGCCTTCACCAATGCTTGCCACAGTGGCCGACCATAGCCG